GTAATTACTTTCTAAAACTTTCAGAGTGAATCTCAATTAGGAGAGTATCACTCTTTAGAGTGAGATTCCACTTCAAAAAATTTAGAAAGTAGTAATTATTATCATGTCGTGATTAAGCGACACTTTGTCACCTTCGCAAAAATATATATTATTTATTATATTATATTATTTAATATAATTGTACCTTAATTACATCGTATGTAATTAAGGAAGTTTCTTGATAAGAGAGATGTGCTTAAGAACATTACATGGCTCTAGTCTAGAAATATATGTTTTTTTTTTTTCCTTTTTCTTCGTTGTATTGTACATGATCTCGTTTAACGACTGACACATGTTTTGCCATTTCAGAGGCGCGAATTTTGCACACCATTCACGCGTGTCTATGTGTTGGATCCAGCACGTCTCTTTTTTCTCCCAACGGTGCCAGTACGTCGGAAAGGAACAGAGAGATCTATTTTCGCCACCTGAGACGATAAACTCTTTCGCGAGAGAGTAAACTCTCAGAAGTTTCTATGGTCCAAACCGGCTTCGCGCGACCTGTAGTCTCGCAGAGTATCGATGATCAATTCATACAGTCCGCATAGTCGCGAATCATTGCCGACAGCCATATCAATTTTCGCACACAAATTATAAGTCGCTTTCTCTAGGTGCATTGGAATGAGCGAACGTAAATAAAACATTAAAAATTAACAATATACTGTCTGTTTTTTATTAATAAACTTTCTAAATTGATGAACCTTAAGGAACATATAAAAATCAACAAAAAAATGACTTCATTTTAATTTTTAACATCAATAAACAATCAAATTTTGTAACAAAAAATTATCATTTTGACTTTCATGGCGTTAAAATAAAATTATTTTGATTTCCTTTTGATTTGATATTTCTTGAAATCAATGCAATAAATTGAAGTGAAATAAATGTAGTTTGTTTAATTTCACTTCATAACTTATTATGCACTGTATATACCAATTCAGAGAGTTCATTGATAAAAAACAGACGGACAATGATAAACAATTTTAACACGATTTTGCTTGCAACTGTTTAACAAAAGAATTGTTTCAAATAAATAATAGAAATTCCAGATTTTTATTTCGTTCCACGACATTATGCTTACCTTTGCGAAAATAAAAAACACTGATTCTGATTCATCGACAGCGATGATTACCGATAATGATTTAAGATCTTCGTGATGATCTTTTCTCGCTCCTTTCGAAACGGGGATGATGTTAGTCGCGTTTCCGATTTATTTCTCGTCTTGTCGGTTCTCATAGTGACTTTGGCATTGCAGACTCAAATGGTTTCTTCTGGGAAACTATAAATTTCATCTGTCGCAATTTCTTGATATTATCGGTGCAATATATTTACGGTAACGAGAAGATCTACTTTTATGATGAAGTTAAATTCAAATTTATTTGCTAATTCGTGACACAAGGAAATACAAAAAGAAGGAATAGAATTAACAGATGTGCGAAGCGGATCTGGTAAAATTCACGAATGGACTGACGGAATTATTAGCAAGAATCAGTGTGTATATAAGAGTATGCACTTTTCGCGGATGCTGCGCTTGCGCCAAATTCGACTCCTCCTTTTATTCCTCTGTCGAAATAATTTTCTTATGATAACCAATTTGGTAATTAGAAGGCATTTCTTGACCATCTTTTATTTATTATGATAGAAATTTTTTGCGATATATCAAAATATAATGTAAGAGATAATTGCGTTAAATTTTACAAAAATAAGATAAGCACAGATAAGCAAGAATGAGGATACCGATCAACAATCTTATTATAAATAATTTATTGTGTAAATTGGGATGTTACATAGTCGACGACGTGGTAGCGAAAGTATTAAAATGGTGCCAGTCAGCCCCATGTCGCCGATATGCCACTTATGGTAAAACATCTACATGTCTGATGATCGTACCGTCCCCTGGAAACTGTGGCGAGAGCGTCCCTACATCCTTTTTAAAAATAATTGCATTTTGTTAGTAATGGGAGTGAGGGGGAGAGCCTTCCAGCTGCGCACAAACGATCGCGAACGGAAGCGTGCGAGTCGGAAGTGCGTTTCCCCATTTCGCTGCTTGTCCGTGTTCCGAGGATCGCTGAAATCTCTGGCTGTAGGCAAGTACAGTGGAAAAAATGTGTACTAAATTTCAATAAATATTTGTTTAAATAGTACTAAATATTTATTAAATGTAAACATATATTTATTTGATGTCAATTTGATTTAAGTTATCACATTTTTTTATTGAGTAAATTTATTTTATTTACTGTAAATTTTGGATTAATAGAGTTCGTGAAAAAATCTGTGAAAGAATATCTGGTAATCGCAATTAGTGGTTTATGTATACAATTTATTAATGCTTTAAATAACATAAGAAATTAATTAATTAATTTTCTCTGAACAAAATCTATCTTTTGATGTTTTTATGATTACATATTTTTGATTAATTAAAAATTAATTAGTCTTTTTTTATCATATAAAATGTAATAGTTGATAATTCTTTAATTTCCTACAATAATCTCTCTACTTTGTGATGATTGATATTTTTTAATCTATCATATTGCGTATCTATTATTTGCCGGAAGAGCATCCGGCAAATCTAGGACGCTGCATAAACGTGTTATTAGTATTATATCCATAAATGGATTGATTGTTATATTCAACATAAATAAATTATACCCATCAATCTCACATCAATCTTCTTTTACGAGAATAGATCTTGAATAGATCGGAAAAGTTAGAGTTTTGGATGGAATTAATTCCGGACCGCGACTGGATGCGGGTCTCCTTTGTGACGCGTGAAACTAACGAGACGTTCGATTAGTCATACCAATTAATGCCGCCGGTCAGTTCCACTTCGTTAGGTTTAATTCACTCTCCTCGCCGTGTCTTCAGTTTCTTACGTAATAAACGCGCCCACTTAATAAAGAATGACGATCTTAGATATCAGTTGACCGCGAGTAGGTCCGAGTTCGAGTTCTTATGCGAATTTAGTACCAAATATGGTTCGCCATGAGCTTATATGTATAATATTGCGGTTTGTACTTATCATCGCAAGATAGTTAATTTTTAATCGAGCAGCTTATTCTGTTTAAATTTTAATTTTATTTGATATATTTTTAACAATTTCTCAAATAATAAATATTCTTAAAAATTTTCTTATAAAATATCTCATTTAAACGTAATAAAAAACGTAATAAATGAATAAATTAATTGTCTTATTTATTTATATTATAAGTATAATTAAGTATCTTATATTATATGTATTGTATATACGTACTATATTATAATTTTGTAATACTTACATTATTTATATTTTTAATGTAGCATTTAATTTCATTGTTTCTGTGATTATTAACTCTTGTTGTTATATATACCTCTAATGCTTCGTACATATCCGCATATGACTCATGAGTTTCACGATGGCTTTTTTTTATCTTTGAAGGATGTTTGTCTTTTTTTACATTAAATGATTGTCTTGCAAGCAATCAAGACAGAAAATCAAAAGTAAGATAAGAACATTCTAATCTCTTTTTCGATAGAGATACTTATAAATCTGAAGGTGAACATTTCTTTATACTACGATATTGCTTAAATTATTTCGTATAAGGAAAGCCTTACAAAACGATTAATCGCTCAAGATTTACAGCGTCCTAATTAAATGAAAGAATGCGATATATTTTCCAATAAAATAATTTTTAAACAACATACATAAAATTCCTATTAAGATTCTCCTATCATGGATTATCATTTACAAAAGAAATTCTTTTAACTCCTTAAAATACCACCAAATTATTTAAATTTAATGTTTTACATTTAATTTTTAATTACTTTACAATTTCATTTATAATAATAGAGTATCTAATCTTAATTTTTTACATAACTTAACTATTTATAAAATTTTTCTTTATTTTTCTTTATTTTTATATATCAAAATTTTTACATATTTCACCATATAAAAAATTCTTTCTATTAAAAATATCTATTTATTAATTATTATATTATCCCCTTAAATACTAATTAATTAAATTTACTCAATTTATAGTCTAACTGCTATTGCTGGCACTAAAATTTATCA